AGCAGCATCATCAGATGCAACATAAGGCGAGGCACAAATAACGTTTCACTTTGAAGAATCCGTCCACCAGATCAGAATTGTCGGATTGTTGAAGCTCTCTTCATTCTTCGATTGTTCGAGATGTGGCTGATTCAGAGCTGGATGATTGTTGGGCTAGCTCGGTTGGTATTAATTTGGAGAAGCCAAATTAGTTCAGACTTGAAGAATCACAAAGCTTCGACATCAATTACAGCGTTGAAGGTCGGGGTTTGGGAGAATTTTTGGAATGCGAGAGATTTCTTTTAGGGGCACATGAGGCGCGTAGAAGGCGGTGTTGGATTCCTTTTTAAAGGAACATTCAACGTATTTTGTTATTTTAAGTATATTCAGAATAATTTTCAATATTAAAATGTAACTAATTTAACTTGTTGTTTATCGTTTTCGTTTTATTAGTTTGTGTCTTTTCATGTTTCAAAATTATTCTCTTAATTTTTTACAATGATTCCTGTAAATAATTCTACCAATTTCATATCTTTTAAACTCTCTATCTAGCAGAAAATTTTCTTATTATTTGTTTTTATAAACTTTTTCTTTATTTTCTATCTCTTCATATACTTTTTCAACATTTTTTAAAAAGTTTGTTTGAATATTTTCCTATAATATATTGTTTACTTTATTTTTTTTCTTAGTTTTATAGTCTTCACTTTTTTTATATATAAATTTGATGACCTCTCTTTAAAGTTTCATTTCTTGAAAAAATTTTAATAATTATTTCATTTTTCACTGTTAGCTCCGTTTCTTTTCTCATATTTTTTTATTCTCTACATAATTTTTTCCTTTATATAAATATTTTTAATTTCTTAATATACTTTTGTTCTATTGTATGTCTCTCACAAAAACTTTTAGGAGGCGTTTGTTTAGTCAACTGGAAACGGATTTGAATGAGGATGGATTGGATTCAAAATATTCATACATTCATGAATCCAATTGTGTTGTTTGGTTTAAAATATTCATGGATTCAAAAGATAAAATTTCTTTTTTATCATTATTTATATATAATAAAAAAATATTAAAAAAAAAATCTCATCCTCCTTCCCCTCCCCTTTTCTCTCACCGTTCTTGCTCACCTGAATAGCTGAATAGTGCCGCCCCACCACCACTTACGCAAGAACTACCACCATCTTCCATCTTCACCTACAACTTCTCTGCCCAGTCATCACCGTCATCATTTAATTAATTATAATTAAATTTTAGTATCAAATAAGATAAGTCTTAAAAAAGAAAATTATAAATATTTAAGTTAATTTATCCCTTATAACATTAACATATAAAGAAAAAAAAAAGAAATAAGAAGATGCACAGAATCAAAATTGTTTCATAATAGTTAAGATAATTAATCTCCATACCGGTGACAAATATTTTTTCTTTTCTTTTTTGTATTATTTTCATATGCATTTTGGAATTCAAGTGTAACATGCGTTTTTTATCGATGAATTTTCTAATATTAATAAAAATTAGTAATGTGCACCAATATATATATATAAAAAAAAAATCAACCAGATAATATTTTTTTATATGACATAATGGTAGAAAAATTTAATGATATGATAATAAAATAAAATTTAGAGATCAATAGGGAAAATACTTTCCAAAATTACATAAACAATAAGGAGCCATTTGTTTACTGGAAATCGGATTGAGGATTCAGATTCAGATTCAGGATTCAGATTCAGGATTCATTTTGTTGTTTGGTGAACGGGAATTGGATTCAGTGTGTTGGATTTGGATGAGTTTTTGAATCCCTATCTTCACCCCATGATTCAGATTGAAGAGGCGTTTGTTTAATCAACTGGAAACAGATTAAGAAACGGATTTGAATGAGGATAGATTAGATTTAAAATATTCGTGGATTCATAAATCCAATTGTGTTGTTTGGTTTAACACATGGATTGGGAAAAAAAAAAGATAAAATTTCTTTTTTATCATTATTTATATATAATAAAAGAATAAAAAAATTCTATAAAATTTCTTTTTAGAGAGAAAAAAAAAATTTCAACGGCAAAGTGACAATAAAATAGGGAATACACATCAGTTACTATATTTTTTCATTATATTATTTCACTAAGATTATCATTTTACATATATATATATATATATATATTTGACGCATGATAACTACTGTAGTTGTATATATACTTGATACATGACGATGATATTATAATTGGTATTATTATTCTAATAATAACGGTACGTGTCCCCTAATAAGCAAATGATTTGACTCTTACACGTAATTGTCAAAATTACCATATGTGTATTCGATCCATTGAAGTACATCATAGTGTACCAAAATGTCTCTTTTTCATTAAACAAAACTCTTATCATTTTTGGGTTGTAACTGGTCAGATTGATCCGTTCCAAGTTGACCCAAATATGAGGGCTAAAAAAGAAGGGAAATCGCTACTCAAGATTTCCAAAAGAAACAAAGCGTGCTTCCAGGAACGCCAAAAATACAAATTTTGTTTCCTGACTAATTAATATTACCTCCGTCTCAAAAAATATTGTTAACATTTAATTTTTAAATTTGTACTAAAAAAAGTATAAAATTCAAAACTCAATGTGTACTATTTTTGTAGGGAGTAATATTTAATATTTGCGGCTCTATTATTACATGTACTAAATTGTGTGAATCGTCGTTTTCCTAAGAAAATCTGATCGAATTAATGGTCTTTTTCTAGGTATAAAAACTAGCTAAAGTTTTTGATTGAGTGACGTCTTTGAACTCAGTTAGCCTTTAATTGCCGAAGAATTTATTTTGGAGACCAAGAAAATAACAAGAATGAACTCTTAAGCCAGGATGAAGCTAGCACATCTCGAGAACTTGACATAATATTTACGAAGTACAATATCTGTTTTGGTAGTTATAGGTTCATTTTTTACGATTTTTATATACGTCTGTATATAAGGCTTTGTTTGTTTTCTTTTTTAGTTAGTTTTTTCAGAATTAAATAATAATAATTGTCTCATCCTAACATATTTTTTACATTTTTAATACATTTTTTTACATTCTTAATACAAAAAATACTTAAAATCACACACTAAAAAAACAAAACAAACATAAACTTGTAAGGAAAACGATTCTGTATGTATTAAAACTTTTGCCTTTGAAGTTTGAATCTCTCCTATGAATCTATGATGTCCCACAGTGAATTCTTCTCACTTAATCAAATGCAACAATAGGCTTTAAGTTAGTGTACTTGCAAGACTTATGTTGCAGTGCAGGTTATCCACACATTTGATGTTGATGATGCATAATTGAATTCCAATTCATTCTGTCCCAAAAGTCTTCATGCCGAAAAAACTTATGCGCGATCGAGGGATTCATGTCCACTTGATTTCCTGTATCGTTTTTTTTTTTGTTCGAATTATGTTGTTGATAAGCTAGTACTAGTTTTGTTTAGATTGTTTTTTAATGTGCGTTTTTGGTGGTGAAATTATAAAAAAATGTATTGAAAATATAAAAAATTATTAAACCAATGAAAAAGGAACCATACAAGTTGCATCTAACTTTAGAAAAATAAAAAATAAATTGTGACAAGCTTGTTTATGCCCATGATCGATGATGTTATATACACTCACATTTAATGAAATCTGTGGATTTTGTCTTCCTTTTTTTTTTTCTTTTTATGCCACGACAAACCATTACCCTATATTTTAGATAGACTTTATTTGGTGATGATGTTAGTTAAATTTTTTAAAAAAATTAAATAATATTAAAAATATATATCTGTTAATTTTCTAGTTGTGGTATAGTATGGTTTTCACAAAAACTGTTGTAGTAGATCCTTATAAGAAATAAATCAGCCAAAAATCTTACCATACATGTTACGTTTCTAAACTAGGGGTTTCAGTTATTTTTAGCTTTTGCATTAAGTATAGGACTGCATTTTTTTTTCCCTTTTAAGTTCTGAAAGAATCTATGTGCAGTGCCATTATTCTCGTAAAAAGATGTATTATATTTAATGCAAAAGATGTATAATATTTTTGGTATGATTAAAAAAAATTTAAAAGAAAATCTCCAAGTTTTATATTATATTTATGAGAATTCGATACGGTTCTGGGCCAAACAAGAATTGTGAAAGTGAGAGTCTCAAAGACTGATCTCACTCATCTAAAGGAATTCGTAGCGTATTAAATTAAGTTCTTGAATATTTATACTACAATTTATACTTTCCAGGCTGGACCTAATCCAATGCCCATCAAGCCAAAGCAATGGCTAAATTCGAAATCAATTAATCACCTTTTGAGATTTTAGGGTAAATTAATCTCAGAAGAAGCTTTTGGTATATATTCATATCAAAGGAATAAGTGGAAAGTAAGTGATATATTTAATGAAAGTGTTTTATTTATTTTCAAGGGGGAAGAAACTTCAGACTTGAAAAAGTTTGTAATTTACGAGCATCAAAAGTTAACTTTTACTGACCTAGTTTTATCGTAATAACGTCTTTTTACATAATTTTATTTAGTTTTTCTCTAAGATATTTCACTCTTTCCAACTAAAAAAAAGTATTACCCAAATATATTACTCAGTTCGTCTCAAAATGATATTTCAGTTTATTTTTTTATTTTTAATACAAATAGTATTAAAAGCGAAAATTCAATCTAAATTTTTATTTCAATACTACAAATTGTACCCAAAAAAAAAAATTCCAAACACGGCCATCATTTTAGGATGAAAAATTAATAAATCGACACCATATAGGGCTAATTAAATGAAAAAAACATCGACCGAAATAGTCTCCTTTTGGATATTTTATCAACATTTTTAAAGGTCAAGAAACGACAACTTCACTTACACTTAATTCGTTTAATTTAGTTATACCAAAAAACACAAAAAAAAAAAAAATTCCATTTCATTGTAATATTTTAGTTAGAGAAAATGGACTATTTTTCTAAAATTAAAGTAGAATAGTAACTAACAGTTAAAGAATATGAAGGAAAATTTGATCTTTAAAATCTCTTGCCCCAACTATAAAAAGTTTGTGGCCACTAAGCGGGACCCATAGTGTCCTGTTGGGCATCATCATCTGCTATTGTTCATTGATCATGTCACCATGAACAGGGGCTTCATACCCTTACTTGGCATAAGAGGTTGGTGCCCCTGAGTTAGAACAGGAAAAACAAGTGAGAAAAAGGTATTATGTTTTCAGTAACTATTCCAATGCTTGTGCAAAAACAGCACAAAGGACTCCGCCATATTTTGCAACTTATTTACATACAAACTGTATGATGCTGATTCATACAGCAAGTCGATTTACCCAGAAAAACCAATTGTTCAGACCAGTATAGTATAATTAAGCAACTTGCGAAATATAGCTCTCCATGCAAAAAGGCATCAAATGCAAGCCTCACATCTACTAACTATGACGATGCACCAAATACCCGAACTCTCTGCTCAATTGGGACCCTGCAGCAGGGACAGATAGCTTTCCCCTTCTTACCATAATTTTCATTGCAGCTTGCACAGATAACTTGATGAGCGCAAGGCAGGAACACTACAGAAACTTCATCTTTTAGGCAAATAATGCACTCCCTATTATAACTGGCTTCCTTCTCCACTGAATCATCCAGTTTATCAAATTCATGAAACAGTCTGACGATGCTTTCTCCTTGCGGCTTCGTTGTGTCGGACTTCCCAGTCAGTGTATTGTCAGATTGATGCTGCTCATTCTTTTGTGCTGCTTTAAGGCGCACAAGTTCCTGCTCTAACCTTTGAAGATCATCCCTATGACGCTGGAAATCTATTTCTGATTTCAGTCGCAGCGCTTCAAGCCTTCTTTTGCTATTAGCCTCGGTAGCTTCTTTAAGCCGCCGTTCCTCCTCTACTTGTGCCAGAGCCAGTTCTTTATCCTTTTGTTCTTGCCTCCATTTTGCCTGTTCAAGACAAGTAGAGCTATACTTTCACGAAGATTTTATAATGTCTGACACATGAACGGTCAAAAATAAAAATCCCGGCCTGAGGCAATTTAAGGAACTTGGGATCCTTGAGATTGCCAAGAAAGGCATAGAGATGAAGCATGGAAGAGAATCCTATTCTGCATAACAAATCTTTCCGAAGAGGAAGAGATAATAACCATCAAACAAGCATCAAACTATAGTTCTGCTAGCTGTATATAGTACCCGAAAAGTTATTACTCAAATTTCTGCTTTCTGGGGATATAGAGTTCCTCGAAACAGAAAGGGACATCTAGGCAGGTATAAACACAGGATTTTAAAGACTGCAAAGTTACACATGCATCACTAAGCAACATAAAGTGCATATGTCATACAAAATGCAAAGTTGGCAGGAAGCTATAGACCACACACCTAAAAACAGCATCAAATCAAGCCATGTGGAAAAGCATCTGGCTAAAACTGAAGCATGCAAGTTGTTTAACCATGAGATAAAGCCTCTATCAAAGTTCTCAGCATAGATGAGCTCAACCAAGCACTAGCGAGTGCAATCACATGTGAACCCCCGATGTTGCACCCGAACTTGGCACCCCAAGCTTGCCTAGGGTGGTTTACCTCCCACTGTGGTTTGCAGGCTATATTGCAGTGGGCGTGGGTTTACCCATCTCTGGTGGGGTTCCCGGAGTTACCAAAAAAAAAAAAAAAACTATTCTAACAAGCAACATCTACTCCATAGAACTAGAACCAGAAAAAGAAGAAGAAGATCAGGTTGCGTGAAAGCTAGGATTCAGGAACACATGGTTTGCAAACTTGCAGCAAAACCTTTTGAAGCTATTAGTTTATTATGTGCTACAAAACTGCGTTTAAGAAAGTACTTAACAATCGTACTAAATCATGAATAATGTTTTGTTTGGGGCGACCTGTTGCATGTTTAGTTCAATTAACCGATAAAGATGACTCACCTCAGCTTCCTTTTGAGCAGCCTCAACCTCAGCTATTTGTTGTTTAATATCTGAAATCTTCTGTTTGTCTGCTGCAATATCCTCCTGAAGCTTAGCTTTCTGTTTTTCCCAAGCCAACAGGCGCCTCAAGTACTTTTTCTCCCTTTTTGCAGCCTCTAGACAACTGGTAACTGATTCTGAAGCACTTAACTTAGAAGCCTCCATTTCTGCTCTAATCTCAGCATTCTCTGTTTCAAGCTTTCTCACAGCAGCATTTGCTCGATCCACTTGACCACTTGCTTTCCTCAAAGAGTTCTCCATTTCTGTTAGCCTCTTCATGGTAGAGTCTTCCAGATTCTGTTTACCCTTCTTCAGCCGCTGTGTCTCTTCTCTTTCCATCTTCAACATCTTTAGCTCAGTCAAATCATGGCTGAGCTTCCTAGCAGCTTGCATCGCCTTCTGGTGAGCCCACTCTTTCCTCTCTTTTACCTGTCGTTCGAGGTCCTTAATCTGATGGATCAAACTTAAAATCGTTTCATCTTTCTGATCTAAAGAAGCCTTCTCACTGTTCTCATCGAGATTCAAATCTTTAAATTTATTCAACACTGAATTTACAACGTCCTGGTTCTTGACATTTTGGGGTTCCTCAGTTTGCCGTACTGGAACACTTTCAACCTTGGTTGCAGTTGCACTTTCACTTGAGGAGGAATCTCCATTAGGCACAGAGCTTTGAACAGTCTGCAACTGACTCTGAAGGTGTCTAGCGTTTGCCCTGAATCCTGCAGCAAAGAAAGCTACATTCCTTTTCAATAAGCTCTTCATGGAAGGGGTTAGGTTAAACCTTTTTGGACAGTCAATCTCCTTTTGCAAACTAATTTCTGATGCATAGGAGAACAGGCCATTCACAGGAAACTCAGAAGTCCCTCCATTTCCAAAACCCCAGCCACTATGAAACCTACACAAGGCTGGGGCAACCCCGACTGGACCGTTAACAACAGCCTCCACATTTCCACTACTCACTGAAGCGGTAGCAGAGGCAGCCCCAGTTCCATTAGGCGAAGGAAGCACCGGTATTTCCATCACACTAGCGCGGCCGACATGAAGATCACTCATAAGCAAGCACCACATTGCATCACCTCTACTCAAATGTGGCTTGATTTGTTGCAATATGACCACCAGACCAGCAAGAGAATACTCCTCTAATTGCTTTAAATCCGCAAAGGGAGGCTCAGAATCCTCTGAATTTCCACTGTTCTCACAACACCCGTTATTCAAATAGCCCAAGGAATTATGCATAATATTAGTCAAGACATCCATTCCACCATAACAATGACCATTCTTTAATATCGCCTTTAGAGCCACTTCCTCATCATAACCCAACTCCACAAGCTTCCGAACGGCCTTAGAGTACAAAAAATCCAAATTCTTCAACAAGATTTCCTCCAGCTGTTCCTCAGTACAGTAACCCCACCCACTATCATCATAGGCAGAATTCGGAGTACCTGCAGTCGGGGCAGTAGCAGAGTTCGGATTCTGGGCCGAATCATGACCACCCATTTGATAACTCAACGGCCTAAATCCAGAATCCACTATGGATTTACACATAACCATATTAGCAACCGCGTTGTTACCATTAGTCGCGGCGCCGTTACTGCCCTGATTATCGGGCTCGGGCTTCACCGATCGGGCCCGTCGATTTGTTCTGATGTGTTTATCTCTCACAGTGCAACCCATTTGGCGCTTTCAATTCAGCTTTTATATCACTAATAAAAAAAATCAACCCTAAAACCAAAAATTGCAAAAAACAAAAAATCACATAAAATCAATTCAATTGATGATATAACACACACAAATTTTCATACATTGATAGGATTGAAAATCCATTTAATCTAAGATGAAAAAGGAGAAGAGAGAAAGACTTACGGAGCGATGATCAGCTGAAGGGAGTATCGGCCTTTGAAATAAGGGGGGACGACGGCGACGGTGATGATGATGAACTGTGTTCCACGGCGGCAGAGGCGGGTGGGCGAGCCGGTGGAAAAGATATATCTCTCTGAAGCAGCTGCAAAAAGGCATCGTAAGGTTAAAGGCATGTAAATTGTAAATGCAGGTTTGATTCTACATTTCCAACTTTGCCCTCCAGTGAAAACGTTAGCGCTCCTTTTTCGACTTTGGTTTTACAGGCGATTTTTAATTTACTACCATAAAAAAGGTTAGCTTTATTGCCAAAACAAAAAATAGGAACCAGAACAATTTTTGTTTGAATTACCAAATTTACCCCCCCATTTATTAAGTCAAAAGTTTTTGTCTTCTTCTCTCTCCGGAGTCCGCCCTCCAACTCCCGTAATAGTTTCCCTTCTTTTTTCCCATTTCATTAGATGCACAGCACACTTTTTCGTTTCCTCCTTAATCTTCCTCCATTTCCCTCCTAAATAAACATACAAATCCACTAATGGAGGTGATTCTCTCCAGGCCCTAACTCCCCTTATTTGTTTTCAACGCAACCGGTAGTCAAACAGGAGGTGATTCCCATCATCCAATAGATTTGGATGAGGAGTGATAGTTTTAAGCTTTGTTAGCTCTGAAATAGATGCTCAAAATAACTCATTTCAATCAATCAATAATATCATTTCTTTTGCATACCTCACTCACACACCTTAAATCGTTAATCGTCGCTTGGATGCATGTGATTTATTTTTATATTTGTAATTGTAGGAGTAGTGAGATATATGAGCATAATGACAGAGCTGCAAAGGTGGAGATTATTAGATATGTTCTAGATTTGCCTTTGATTGGAAATGATTTTTCTTTGATTATTTAGACCCATTATATTGATTTTTGTAAATGACGCAAAGGTAATTTGCCATTTACCTTTTCTTTTAACAAGCACTTAAAGAAGATTAAAGATAAATTTTTGTACAATACAAACAAAATGAATTGCTTAATTTTAATATCAGATTTGAAGTTTTGAATATTTATGAAGAAGTGAGAAGTTATAGGCATTGTGCTGTGTGGCAAAACAAATTTTAACTTTATGAAAATTTCAATTTCTGTTTGTCACGGTTTTGGTTTAAGCAAAAGAAAAATCAAATAAACAAACAAGCTGCTCTTTCTATTTGACCAAGATTAAAATGTAGCTTCCAAAAAAAAAAAAGATTGAATGCGTTAGTAATATATGTTTTAGAGACTTTGGGGGAGGGTGCGAGTATCCAAAAAATATATATATACGGAGTAGTACTTTTTCATGTGGAGCCAGAATGATGAGAGAGAGAATTTCGAAGGGATAGAATTTTCAAGGATAAATTTGATAATTTATACAAAACTTATTTTGGACCCCAGTTTTTGTTCTGGCATTAAGGCCACCCCATAAAAAAATCCCTCCCGACTCCCAAAGTCAGCCTTATTACTGTGTTGTTAACCTCGGCACGGACCGGCCGGTCGAACCGGTTTAATCGAGAACCACCTGAGGCCGAGCCGAGTAGATCTGTAAATCGGCCATTCATGACTCGGTCAAAACCAGTCAAGACTTTGGTTAAATCGGAAATCGGTCAAACTCGGGTCAAACCGGGTTTTGACTTTCAACCACTTTTTAAATTTTTTAAATTTTTTTGCACTACTCTTGAGGTGTATTTAATATGAACTTTTCAATTTTAACCCTCAATTTGATTTTTTATTTTACTAATGATCCAAAACTTTTATATTTATGTTATTTAAACCCATAATTTCAAATATTTTAAGTCTAAATTTTTAATTTAGTCATTCATCTCATATTTTAAATATCAAATTGAGTAATAACCATTGTTTGAACTAAAGTAAATATTATAAACCAAATACATCAACCAATATTCATTACTTAAAAATAAAGTAAAAATAAAACAACCAAATACATTGATTAAACATGTAGTGTAATTTTCTTTATGATAAAAGTTAATAATATAACAAATTTATTATTTTTAATTATAATCAAAGTTAATTTAAACTATTAGTCTAGCTAATGTCATAATTTTGCTATATACAAACCTTATTTAAAGTTAAGAAACACTACTTTGACTTTCAATTTTATTAAAAATATATATTTATTAATTTTAAAATTTATTACGCCATTATGACGTCATTCGAGTCGACCCCCGAATCGCCCCGAGTCAATTCCCGAGTCGTTCGACTCCTGGCCATTGCTAAGTCGAGCTCCGGTCCGAACTTGACAACACTTTCTTATTGTATTATACTTTACAATATACGAAACTGGGATTGGGTATAACATCGATCGGGTAAGATGTCAGGTATTGGGTATTAATCTGGGCGTTTGACTCGACTCGAGTAATGAAATCATGAAATCTTGAATTTATGAAAACCTGATATTTTGGGCACCAAAACTAAGGGTGTGTTTGCGTAGTAAGTTTTTTTTTTTTTTTTTTTGGTAAGTTTTGGAATGGAGAAATGGAATAATTTCAGTTTTTGATGTTTGATTAACGGGTTTTAAATTCTCCAGAATGGATTGATAGCCAAGTATCTGGAATCCTTTAAACCCTTGGGTCGGGTTTGAGTTATTCTTGTTTTGACAACTTTTTTTTTTTTTCAACCTTTTGTTTTTTTAATGGTTTTATATTGTATATAAATTTATTATATCATAAAAAATTTCTTAATTATAAACTCAAGTTTTTATTTAAAACTTTTGAGTCAAATTTAAATTGTGAAAAAAATTTAAATTGATTAACATATGATTTGAATTGAGATTGAAATATAGAATTTTTTTACTGCATTAAATTTATATTGAAATAAGAGCATTTCAGACTCAGTCAAACCAATTTATTTTTTTTTAAAAAAAATCCAAAGTATTCAAATTGATTTAATAAAATGATTTATTAATTTTTTAAAATTAGTAGTTAAATTTTTTGTAGCATTAATTCAACAAATTAAACGAAAAAAATAAAATAATACCTAAACTTAATTATAAACCAAACACCTGTTTTGAAACGGGTATACCGATAGTAATTATTTCTTATTATCATACCTAACCCTATAATAAAATCCATGAACAAACCACACGTTCTCTAAAAGTATGTAATAAAACAATTCATTGCTTTCAATTAAAATTTTTAACTTTTAAAATTTTCGAATTAGTACATGCATGTAGATGGTTAGTATGTACTTATTGTTATAAGTAAGCATGTTTCAGGTTCAAGTTTTAATCAGAAACGGTTTGGAATAGGCCGGTTAGTTCATGAATCAGACTGGAATTGTGAGTGTCAGTATATAAAATTATATTCCGATTGTCTAGTTTTGACACGACAGTTCAACCCATCATAACCCAAAGATTAACACTAAAAGTGATATAAATGCATTAAAGAAATATTAAAGAAATTTTAGAGCAAATGAAAATTTAAAGTCCTAATGATTCCACTCACTTATTTTCCTTCTTCGAATTTTTTTAGCTCTTTAATTTCTCTCTTCAAATCTTTAATTATCACCTCTCGTGAATCTTTCTTTTGGATTAGTTCTGATCAAATTTATAACTAGTTTTTTTTTTTCCTATTTCCATCCTTTCTATCACTAAAGTGATTAAATATTTACGGCTAGCATATCTGATGAAAATATTACCAAACAATAACGATAATAAAAGAAAAATATACAAATAAAAGAAAACATACATTATATTTGAGAAATTAAAAAAACGATAACAATAGTTAAATATCACAATATTAACAAAATATACAAATAAAAGAAAAATAAGAATCTCTCCACCCACCACCAATGGTGGATGGGAGATGGATTTTGATTATATTTGAAAGGGAAGGTAGAAGGGAGAGAAAAAAAAAAAAAAAGAGAGAGAGAAAGAAGTACAAATTGTTGGTGACATCAAAATCACAAATAAAGCTTGAGTGATATGACAATTAGCGATCGTTAAGAATAATATATATTGCGTTCGGTAATTGAAATATCATAAAGGTTCATTTCAATTACACTTTTAAGCGTGACAAATATACGAGGTGTTTATAAAAAATATTATGATTATTAATTTACAAGTTTACCAGTTTTGTAATGAATAATGAAATAACTTTACACATTGCTTGGCAAAGTTACGAGGATATCGCAAGAATATTGCACACATGAGGACATAAAGTGATCGTTAAAGTGGATAGTTAAAGCGTTTAAGATGATGAAGAGAGTCATAGTTTTCGTGATGGTTTTGTTTAGAAAGTTTTTGACATTTGACCAGAGTTGGATTGTGAAACTGTAACATCTGTTTTATGATTATTGTCAATTGAGGTGCCAAAAATTTTAAAAAAAGTTTTATCTTTTCTCTTTCTATTCTCTCAATTCTTTTCCACTCTAGAATTCTCAAACACAATTTCTTCCTCTCCCCCTTCATTAATGGAGGTTGGGGAGGTTCCATTTTATTTTCAGCTGTAAATTAGTCCACCCTTTTCAATATTTTTTTTATTCCCTTGATTGGAAGTAATGCTCTCTCAATCTTGAGAGTCTCTGTTTCTTCTATTTTTTAGAAGTTTTGAATTTTTTTTTGAGAGAGTTCAATTTTTATTTTCATATGCTTTAGGTAGTTTTTCTTTAACAGATCTGTTGGAAAGAGGCCAAATCTAGAGTTGATGGCAGTAGATGGAAAGGAACACAAGTTTCAAAGATTAACAACTATGAAACGGCGACACATCTGGGACTTCTTTGTTATAATAGAGTTCTTTTTTTTTTCTCTGTATAAATTTTGATAGATCTTTTCTGTATTCAGTGATGTTGCTACAATCCTACCCAATTAACTTGATCTAATTCTGTACACAAATTTATAATTGTATCCCTAATACTGCGGTTAGGTATCACACAAAAGACGGATTTTAATAGTTCAATTGCGGGTTGTTGTAGTCGAACTCCTATAGTTGTATCACTTTTCATTTTATTTAATATAATGATTATCTTTTGAAAAAAAAAAGAGCAAAAGATTTATGGATAAGGTAGAAGTATTGAATTTGTGAATGGTATGGTTACGAAGGTTGGAAGCGTTGGGTAAATTAAAACTAACACTAATTATTTTTTTTAAAAAAAAAATCATCTCAATTAACCCTATTTAAATGCAAATAAAATCTTCCTTTCCCATCAAGTCCCTTTTTACATACTCTTGGCAGAAATTGAACCTGAGTTTAATACCATAAAACTCAGC